GCATACTTTGACATACATAAATAAATTTGGATCTGATAGACAATTTTATGCATTTAAATCACACTTTTCAATATACATCAGAGTAGAAGCCATAAACTACAAAAAATAAATGTCAGAAAAGCACTTAATTGCCTTGCCCTATCTATCTATGTATGTATGTATACATAGACATATGTATGTGTGTATGTCTTTTGCATTTGACATTGTGCATGAACTGATTTTAAGGTTAAGATTAGATAGTAAACTTTAATCTTCAGTGTTAATGTTAATAAGCCATGCTAGTGGCTGTGTGAGCCGATACTGAGGCTGACAATGACGTGCTGAGACTTACAGACAGAAACACGTCAAAATGACTTTTTCTTAATCATCATTCATATAATAGGGGCAAAAGTATGTCTGCAAAACAACATGGATTATGGTTTCTACCACAAAACACCGACTGCTGACTGGCATATGTACACGTACTCTTGTGTTTGACCATTGGGTTCTTCAACACACCCTTCCCAGAATGGAAGTGCGTCACGAGGGAGAAAGAAAAACTGTGTGTGGCTGTCAACACCAAGATCATTGAGGTCTAATTGTTTCAGACTAATACATGGAGCCTATAGATCTACCCAGGCAATGAGGTGGAACTGTTCCAGTCCACATTGGTTGACTACACACCATCCACACAGATTCCTCATCATCTCGCTGACAAACAGTCTTTGTTCTCTCACTTGGGATTGCCTCCCTCTGGGCCAGAATTCAAACCAAGTACCGGGGAAACACAGCCAGGGATTCACTGCGGTGGCTCTTGTGTGGAGAAAAAACAAAGAGGAACAAACCAAATAAAACAACTATAGTGATACATTCGAGTATCATCCCATCGAATCGAATTTCTGTAGGTGGTTTGGCAACATCAATGCCGGAAGATGTCACTTAAAATTCTGTGTTTTATGGCTTTCCAAAAGTGAATCTCAAAGAGTTAAATGTTCAGTCTTACCTGACAGAAGCATATTTTTTTATTACCATAAAGCTCTGCATAAATGGATCCTCCACACCTAATGCTTTCTAATATTAAATGTGGAAGAAGAATGACAGACAGAGGAAACAAAATAAAAGAACAATACCGAGTCATGCTAACGGATTTGTGAGGATGTGCTTAACAGCAGCGCAGTGCTAAATGCTAATATCAGCACGTTAACATTCTCACCACGACAACACTAGATCATAAAATGTTTACCATGTTTATATTTAGCGTTTTAGCATGCTAAAATTTGCTAATTAGTGCTAACCATAAAGTACAGCTGGGACTGAAGGGAATGTCATGTGTTTTGGAGAAATTTGATCTTAATTTAAGTTGTGACCTGATGATTGCACCAGAGGAAAGTCATCAAATGGATTTCTATTCATCCTGTGGGGAAGATGAATGTCTTTCACGAATTTACAGCAATACAAGCACAACAGTCAAGACATGTCTCTCAAAACAAGATGAAAACCAGATAAAAACTTTCTGTTTTTAGGAATAGTGTTCATTGTCTGGTAACCAAGAAACAAAATTCTGTACCAGTCCATGGAGATATTTCACTGGATAAATGAAAACTTTGATGCTGGTGGTGATAAAGGTGAAGTAAAGGGATCATCAAAGTACTGAATGTCATGGTAATCTATCTATCCAATATCTATCCAATGTTTGTCAAGATATTTCACTGAACACAAAGATGTCAACCTCATGGTAGCACTAGAGAAAAAGTAGTGGATCACCAAAATCACTAGGGTTCATCCTCTGGGGACCATGAATGTCTGTACAACATTTCATGGCAATCAATCCAATAGTTCTCAAGCTGTTCTGTCTGGACCCGAGTGGTGGATGAACAAATTGATGATCGACCAACAGACAGACATTGTCATCAGATGAACTGATGGACTCAAGTTGAAGCAAGACTGAAAAATATGCTCACATATTTCATCAGAGATAATTCAATGCACGATCATATTTTTGTCAATGTGTGACTCAGACTCTGAAGTTTCATTCAAGATGTAGAATCAGCCACAGTACAGAACATCAAATATGAACATAATTGGGTCCATGCAAGACTACTCGTGGAATTGATAGACAATAGTGCTACTGCTATTACTCTCCAACTTAAATTAGGATATTAAGTATGGAAAGACTTTAGAAAAATCAAGCGCTACTGGTTATGACATGTTGTGGCATTTCGTTCCTCTCATTCTCTGTATATTTTGGCTCATGTTATCTTGGTTTACTTCCTCACAGACAGAATACAGACCATTATTGCAGGTAATCCACCATCAGAAAGAAATTCTGTCTGAAAGACTCCCAAGACTAGATGGAACTATTTAACATTAACAAATTGTAGTCAAGGACCTACAGTAACCCTTGTTTGCACCATAACCCTAAAATCACTCAAATTTGTTGCGTAACATTATGTTAACAGGCATTTTTCCCTTAATGTCAGAAGGCAGAGACAGGGGAGGTAAACCAATCCTCCTATCAATTCCAAATGCTCCCTTTAGATAGATGGCGTTGGTAAAGCCTCTATCCCCCTTTTGCTTCTACAGTTCTTACCACATTCATATGACGAACAAGCAGGCCAGACACAACCTGTCATAACAACATCAGCCACATCTCCCGTTCATCTCTTTTGGAAGATGGTGTCTTTAATTCCAGTCTCTGTAAGTCTGAAATTTCTTCACACAAACTGGCCCATCCAAACTGGCTTTCTTAAAGCAATGTGCTGGAATATATGGCCTCTCTTACCAGAAAAATATCATCTCAATCATAAAATTTGGACTCTAATACTTATAATCTGTCCAATTATCAAGATCCTGCCTGGAGGTCCTGTCTGGAGTGTATGAACTGCACTGCAGTAAGCTCTTATCCTTCCTTCCAAAACCCCATTAATAAAATTCCCAATATTCAATTCTGGTAATAATACAGTTAGCACAGCCACACACATGGCTCTCCCTTTACAAGCATGTATAATTGCACATGAGAGCATAGAGCTGGCCTCATGAGGATTCAAACTTGAGCAATGCAAATTTGACCATTTTCTTTGAAGGCTACAGAGTATGTTACTCTGGTTTCATCAAACCCATATCACTCATTACATCATTAAAATCTAATTCCTAACATTTAAAAGGACACTACACTACAACTCTGCTGTAGAGATGCTTGAGAGCCATTGCTCATCAAACTCGAGAACCCAAACAGTGGGCAGCAGGTCAATGAAGCTGCTGTGTTGCACCTCTCTAAGAGCCACGTGGTGGAGCATCAGTGCACTTGAGGCAATTACTTCACTGTCTATCATGTTTTCATACATAGTTGGGAACACCTAATAATTTCCTCACAATCAATGAACTTCTTGTGATACGCCTGCAATAATTATGGCCTTATAAAATCATCTTGATCATAAAATCATCCATTATTGCCAAATAATGGATCATGTTTATCAATACAGCAGCATAGGAATTTTGAAAACAATAGAAAATGCTGACACGAGAAAGGCAGCCAGTATTTTACAGAGTCTGCACATCTGGATTAGGAAAATAGAGTAAATTGGTGAGTCTTGACAATTTATAGGCTTTAATGACAATAGACAAAACAAATAACTCTTTACTGCTATTCCCCTTAATGTGATGCAGTTGTTGTACAACCAATACAATCTGTTGCGCAAGGCACATTTGAGGACAAGAAAACTCAAAATTGGACTACATCCCTGAGGTTTTTCTCTAAGCGGTCAGGGGATTTACAGTGTGAGTACAAATTTTTTATCTCCATTGACAATGGGAGTAAAATAGTCATCACACAAGCCAGTTGCAGCTGTTTATCAGTAAGATGGCCAGGGTCCTGTCCAACTTGGTCTTAAATGAAACTGAACATCTGCCTTCAATAAAACTGCATGGAGGTACGCAAAGTTATCAGTGCTTACAAGCTTTTCTCTTCTCTTTCTGCCATTCTCCTTTCCTCTTTCTGTGTCTTTAGGGTTTAGGTTAATGAGGCATTTTTTAATGGCATGTGTACCGTGATCTTATCACCTCAGTGAACTTGTCACAAATGACATCTTGACCCTGGACTGTGAAATGGGAAATTGCAAGGTCGTGAAATTTTAGCCGAGTCCATGGAGTTTCTTCCTTTCTTCTGAAAGCATCCCACCATAAGCTAAAGCCCTTAAGTATTGGCAGATGACCACTTAAGTATTGGCAATGACCACGCACATAGTGTACTATGTGCGTGGTCATTGAGTAAATGCGACTGCTTCAATTTATTGTTCCACTTCACTCGGCATGCATTTGACCGCAAGAAGCAGAGCCAGGTTGTGAACATGGTCAGTGATATTCTTCCAAAGATAATGGGCAGACACTGGGTGGCCGGGGTCTGAATTTTATTCATAATGCATGACACACTGATTTTTATCATGAAGCTCTGGTCAAAGTGCATTTACAATATTAAAGTTATGACAGCTACCTTTTTTTTTTTAACCTTTTGTCACCCACTTTTGCACTTGGGAGCAGTTTTGATTAAATGTTTGGATTTTGTGAATTAAAAAAGGACTCTTAACTTTTCTTTGTCCATGAAGTCACATCCTCATGTAGGTGAGAGTAAAACCCTTGGTATCTTGATTAGTTGACTTGATTGATTAGGTTGCACTAAAAACGACAGGGCAGTTTCTTCTCAGCGTATTATGAACTGGCAGAACATAAATGAAGAATAAATAAACTGTCAAATACACTCATTCAAATTAAAATTACTTGATTTTTTTTTCTCATCTTCAAATGCCACTTTGACCTAAAGCTTTTGTAAAAATCACACACAATATTCTCAACAACCTGGAAACATCATCAGTGGTTTCCTTAAATATCATGTGCTAGTGTCTTTTAATGAAACAAAAGCATGTTCAGCAGTATTTGTAAGGAATACTTTATTTTCAAATTGTGCCAAAAAAATATAGAACCCATCCTACACCTGTATAAAAACAAAACGACCAAGACAACAGAAATAAATTCACACATTTTAATTATAATCTTACTGCATAGAAGATGATTCAAAAACAAAAATCATAGTATTTACAGTTCGCATAATTTTACAAAACCTTTAAAATTTCCCATAAAAATTCCCATATAGAAAAGACTTAAATGCCTGGCGCAGCGATAGGACTGAGGTAGAATAAAGAGATTAGAGTTTAAATATGCTTTTAGGAAAAGAAGTTAGTCATTTTGTCTTGGCTTTTACTTTTGAATCCTTAAGGAAACCCAACAGGTAGAGAGACAAGATTTAATGGTGCTATAATGTGTTTGGTGTGATTTTAGGATCCCAACTGGACACCCCAGTCCTGCAGCATAAACTGCACTTTACATTTGTTTAATTAGTTTCTCAGGATTTATATGACACAAGAGAAACGGTTTAGAGACATAAGTGTACAGAGAAAAAAGTATTGAAATCAGGGCTGTACCAATGGCCACAGTGCCTCAGTCCAGTACAATGATAGACATTACAGGTCTGTCTCCTGCTTACACTGCATACTGTAGTGTAGTTTGTTCCATAGTGCATAAACTACAGTTTGATTGTTATGGCCTGGTGTTTACACAAAGAAACTCTCTTTGTACCTGAAACATGTGACACATTCATCTGTCTGGTGGGGAGGGGACAAATTTAGCATTTTCATTTATTTTAAGGAGCCAGAGAAATAAAGAAACAACGAAAGCACTAAGCAACAATAAATATAAAATAAAATGACATATTACTGCTTATCATTATAAACATATCTGCTGTCTGTGATTGTCCACACTACTGCCACCATTCGGAAGGCCCATCTCCACCAACTATCATATACTACACAGTGACTTCAGCAATGTAACACCTTCACTTAATCCCTCGTCTGGCACTGAAGTGACACCAGCCTCCTCAAGGGAGACATTATTTTCCTGTTGCAGTGCCTGCTGCCTACTGTATACACTTTCATCTACCATATTGTTTCCTCTCCCTTTATGTCTGCCTGATGAGTTCTGCTCTACCCAGCCAATAAACATCCCACCTCACATTGAGCACACCTCTTAACTTATAAATACAATTTAGACTTAGATTTGATTTCACAGTCTAAATTTTCAGGAGCAGAAAAGCAAATATTATCCAGGCGAAGAGGAAGAAGGCAGCAATAAAATAAAATAACAAATCAGAATAGAACATAATGTTAATATATGGTACTCCATTTTTAAAACAAACAAAATATCATATATTCTGTACACAATGATTAAATACAGTGTGATCAGTATACATTCCTGTGTATGAAAACCAACTTATATTTGTAAACACAGTACTTTCTGTAAAACATGTCTAACTCAAAACTTCCAGCACCAGCTGTTCAATGCATCATAATATATATAAAAAAATTCTGTATTCACAGATTACGTATGTCTAAGGAATATCCATATCTGGAGTTACAAGATGAGAAAAAATAACAATTCATTAAAATATCGGACAATTCCTTCTACTGGGTGGCTACTGTTTGATAACTAAGAGGGAAAATTGTCTATCAATCTGCTGGGACGTTCTATTTCCACTGAAGACACAGAGACAGATGAACAGCCTTGGTATCCAACCTGTGGGCACTTCCTGCTCTTCAAGAGCAGCTGAGGTGACTCTGTTGGTCTTTGGACTTCTGAACTGAAGTCTCACTCCCTCACAGCAAAGACTCGGAAGGAACCCCCCTCTGTGTTGGTCTTGCTGCAAACAGACGATACAGAAAACAAGTTAGGTGTGGGAACTGGAAAAGAATGGTCAGAACTGAAGCAGCAGAGTTTATCCTGAACGTTAACCCCTGGTAAAGGTTAATCTCTGAAAACACTGAATCCTTAATGCAACCAATAGCATCTTTTATTACACCTTCTGTGCCTCCTAAATGTACACTTCTTTGGAGCTGCACATCTACAGGCTTTCTTTTAAAAAATGTAAGTCTCAAGCACAAACTAAGATAGCCCTGAGTTATTTTCTCAGGCTTTAGAAATCTCCCTCTAGAGCCACAGAAGACATTACACAACCATGTTCAGAGGCAGAGAAGTACTCCCTGTGACAATCGAACTGAACTTCAAGTATAAAATAGGTGGAGTGCCCCTTTAATCCAAATAAAAACATATTTTTGAAAAATGTGTTTTCAAGATACTTGGAATTCTTCTCTTTAATATTATCCAAGTCCTCCCTGCAGTAAAAGCCATTAAAAAGGGCACAATCATGTTGTTCACAACATCTTTGGAAAAAACATCCACCAAATGACAGACTGGCAGTATGACTCACTGTTGCCGTATTTCTCAGAATGATCTTTCCAGCTACCACATGTGTTAAACTTAACGACTTTGCAATTAGTTCATCGGTGGAGAAACCTTGACGCTCTGCCATGATCAATAATCTTGATAGGCCAGCGCGATTGGTATCACATCACAGATAATTATCCGTATAGGAAAGCACTGACTAAGTGGCTGACAGCATTTCCATCCTCGAGTAATTGGATAGGCTGTGATTACTTCCCCAGCAACAGAGTCCAGTCCAACCTGCCCACCCTGCCATGATGCTGGCACATGGCACGGACTCTCACTCAGCAGTTTGACCTCCTATCCCAGTGCCATGAGTGGGGCCTTCGCAACTTTGCATTAGATTTCATAGAATCAGACTTGGATTATTTTTGGCCATTCAGCACTTTGCACACTCAATTGAAATGCCTGGGTAAAGTAAGCACAGATCCCATGTGTGGCCCATCCACACACCAAACCACACCATTACTCTTACAACCCCACATGCCAACAGAACTGGCCACAAGGGCTTCTTTGCCCAAGCTTAGTCCACTGGAGCCAGCCACAGACATGAGAGTGATGTGAGAAACATGGCGTGCACGCAGGGAACCCACTACATGCAGTATTACAGGAGACATAAATCAAGTTAGGGTAAAATGAATAAAACTACCTTTCTCAGTCATATTTCAGATTCTCTGGTCAGATTTACTTGTGTCATTTCACTACAATCTTCTTATTTTTCATTTCAGCAATGGTGAACATATTCCCTATCATTACAACTAAGGAGTTTTGGCAGTTTCACAGCTATTAAACAAATGGTTGCTTGCTGATGGAAGTGGTCACACAGCATGTCTAAACATGGTTGTTCTCATTTTTAGACACAGTCTCTCTTAAATACTTTACAGTGAGACTGCAGTGAGCCAAATCTAAAAACATAGATTTCTGGAATTCAAGCTATCTCTAATGTCCCTGCAACTGTTTGACATGGTGCCTGACCCATCTGTCTTTGTACCTACAGTCCTCGTCTGGGAAGATCATTTCAGTAAAAAATAGTTGACCTGAAAAAATTGAGCAGTACCTTTCAGACTGGATGCCATTTTTCAGGACTCCAAGATAGCTCTTTCTCTTGTCCAGTGGCAGAACATCCACAAGACCGCCATCTGCTTTGATTACCCCTGCATGGATGGCTGCTTTACAAATACTGGAGTTCTGTGAAGAGAAAGCGTGGAAAGATGAGAAAGGCCTTAAGAAGATGGAAAAGAACTTTTTCACTACAGGAGCTATCTTTGTAATTCTTTTATTACAGATACAGCACAAAACATAATGCAGTAATTCACAGACACACGTTAGCACACACACTCAAGCATTTGTTTCACAATCTCAGCCAGAAGTCTGGCTCCAGCACAACAGACCATGAGCTCTTATCAACAGTCTGGAGCAGAATCATTCATTTCTAGTCCAAACACAGATCACACTGTCCATACACCCCTCCAACATTTCTAACAGACAGTTTATGTCTCGTGTTTAACCAGCATCCAGCCTCTACACCACAGTCAAAATACATCCAGTGCCTGAGACTGCAAAACATTCTTGGGCACGTTTGCTCCTCTTACATCTGAGAGACAAGCACTTAGTCTGAGATAACACTTTAGTCAGCCTCTGAATGGTCAGGCCCCATGCAGAGTATTACATCCCTGGCAGTCTCTGGCTTACCTCACCATTACGCCCATCCTCCATTAGTCAAATTCAGACTGTGATTCAATGGCTTTCCATAGCTACCATGCATCACAAACCCTGCAAAGTCGCCTTAAAGTCGACCTAACCATGATACAGATCCACATATCCGTTGCTTTCTGTCTGAACTAATAGGCCATAAAAAGATTTAAACAAGAAACAGGACAGAACTGGAGGGCCTGGACCTCTGGTTTGACTCGTGATGAATTTACTAAAGTTCATACACATATAAAACTTGTATTACTTACATCTGTGTAAAAGTTGTTTCCGATAACAGGTGACCAGTAAGAAGGCTGAGTCTTGCAGTTAGCTGGACAGAAGATTCTGAGGAAGAGATTGGACATTAGGATGAATATGAAGCAACAGATGAGGGTTTTATTCATAGAAATAAGTTTATTTTACAAGAATGGGAACTATTAATTGGCTAACAATTTGATTGTTTAGTGAATGATAAGATGGTGGATGTGAGAAGGTACCTTGGGCAGTGTGAGTAGGGCTTTTTGAAAGGGCAGATTTCAGCCACTGTGGTGTAGCAGTCTGCAGTCATTTCTGTCACAGAGGAAGAGAAAAACTCGTAATATTCCTAAGACGTGTATTTTTATAAAGTCATGAATCAAAGAGTGATTCACTCACCTTCCACCTTGGCCACCACAAAGGCATTGCCGGGTTTATATTTGCTGTAAAAGTCATCACAGTGTTTAGGAATCAGGAAAACAAATTGTGATCGGAAAAATCCATTATTGCGCAAAATGTGAATGGAAAAAGCAGGGAAATGTGTTTCATAAGAAATGGGATTTCACCCTATTTGAAAAATTAGGTCAAGCAGAGATATCCACCTGAGAGACTCAATGCCATTCTTTGTGGCTCTGACAAAGAATGGAAGTTTGTCCATTCTTGTGATGTCGACCAATCCTCCGTTGTTGTCAATCACGCCAAAATGAATAGCAGCTCGGCAAATACTTGATTGCTGAGACAACAAAAAATTAGCATTTATAAATATTCATTTACAGTATTAACTGTTGTGTGGTGTTTGCTGCTGACGCTGGAAAAACTCACCACATCATAATAGAGAGTTCCCCAGACTTTCCCTTTCTTAGTCATGCAGTTAGCTGGACAAATGTATCTGTGGTCAAAATAGAAGTTGGAGAGTGAGTTGACACACAATAGACATATGTACAGCACATATCCAAAAGTAGCTTTACATTGAAATTCATTAAGATAACCTAACCTGTTGCAGGTTGCTCCTTTGCACTTATCTCGCAGTCTAGTCTCACACTTAATGTTTTGAGCTGCAAGAAAACAAAAAAAAAAGACAAAAAAATAAGTGAAGAGATGCACACAAACGGTGGAGGAGGTTTGGGGTTATGATGTATAATCCCTCTAGATACCTAAGTAGTTGTTACTGGTAGTCTTTAAAGATGGCGTCCTTGGTGTGGTGAGCTTCGGAGTGGAGGGCTTGAACACTGGTTTCTTCGGAGTGGACGGTTTAGGTTTGAGGGCAGGTTTAGCGGTGGTACGAGGCAGCATTGGAACCTGAGGCTTCTCCACCTCATTCATGTCCTCTGTCTCTGAGCGCTGAGAGTCTATAGATGGATAAACAGATGGGGTTCAGGTTGAGGGTATATTTATATTTAATTGCATTGAATGAAAACTACACAGGTTTTCTCACCTTTGTAGCACAGGTTATTCCTACATCCCCCTCCATAGCTGGGAGGGCACTGGGAACAAGGGCGGCCATGTTGGTATGGGGCCTCTCCAATCCAGTTACCCCTGCAGAAGTAGTGCACAATGGACAGCTTGACTAAGGTGGAAATTAATCATCAGTCAGGCATCACTGGGCTCATGGCCTTGTAATTACTTCAGCACTCTTTGCTCATGGTCAACACTCCTAGTAGTCATTAGTCCCACACTCCTTGTCTCTCAGGCAATTACATCCTGTGGGCTGTCTGGAAAACAAACGCCTGCTCTGCTTTTATTTTTCTTTCCCTGTGCTTCATTATTATTTTTCTATTCTAACTTATGAGGAATTTTAATGGCAACAATATGTTATACAAACCTCTCAAACATTTAGTGCTACATATCTGCAGTGCAGCTATATTAGGAGCAAGCAATGTAACATTTGTCAGCAGTGTAAAGAGGAGGAATGTAAACACAAATCTAGAGAGAAGGGGTGTTGGTGAACAGTGGAACATGAAGGAATACTGATCTTACTTTGGGGAATAGTTGCACACAAGGTAAACGGCGTTCTCCCATATTTCACCCCACACGTCCATCTTTGGACACACGTGCACAGCACAGCCCACTCGGCTAGTGGTTGCCCAGACCAGCTGTGAAGAAGGAAATAGAGGAATGACCAAAGTTAGCAGAAGGAACTTACTGAAAGAACAGACACATTATAGCAGAGAAAACTATTATTATTAAGCCTAGACGTCCCGCCTCACGTTTCTCACAGTCTATGGTTCAATCAGTCATTCCAGAGGAAGAAACTAGACTGGCAGTCACGATTAATGTGGCCACTGGGACAACCAGGAGCGCCTGGTCTGTTTTTCTGACCCAGTCAGATGCACATGATGTGTGAACCCAGTTTGCCCTCTGTGACACAATCGTGATCATTTTCATCATCCAGTTAGAAGTGGAAAAAATGGTCAACGTAGGCCCAAGACAGTCCAAGGTAAAATAAAACGCCTTATTAAACGGAAAGCTGTTGCAGCGGTGTTACAGATGAATGATGTGCCATTTGACAACGAATACAACACAGCATGTTCCATAACTCCTCCTCACTTTCCTCCCCAACTCTCAAACATGTGCGCTCTCCCTCCTCAGGAATGTTCATCTTTTTCCTGGTAGAGTTAGAGGCCGCTGGAAGCAGTGAGTCAGCACATAGACTGATGTGTGCTGAGTGCTGGTAGTTCAGCACAATGCAGTCTCTAACTCCGGAGGGTCTACCATTTCTCCGTAGGGGTAGTAATGGAGTATGACTGCCTGGATTGCAGATTTATCAGCACTTCCAGCAAATGAAAGACAGAGACAAGGTGATGATGCTCCTATTTGGCACAGTCCCGTCTCTGCAGCATCTTCAAAAGAATCCAGGTCAAGCAGTGAGGGATGTCTGGCGTGTCTGGAAATGACTACCAGATGACAGTGATCAGGTTTCAGGGTGAAGGCAGAGGGAGGAGTCTGGATGTTTCTGTAAACTCATCCCAGCAGCTACAAAGTAAAGTCTAGGGGAAAAAGACGCCAGCTCACCCATTGCTGTTTCCTTTTGATTGATTTCTTCATTTTTTCATCTCATCTTCAACTCTTCTTTCCGTCCCCTCACTCTCCTTTGTTCCATTACTTGCATCTGATTTTACATTTATCTCTCTAGCTTGCTTGTTTTCACCGTCTACAAGTTACTATATGCACACCTGTCATTTAACCCCTCAGTCACGCCACAACTCTGCCCATAAATACTGTGAAATATCATACAGGGTGCTCACCACATGTTTAAAGGAAGGCACATGACCTGATACTACATAGATTTTACCATAAACATAGCAGAAATACCAGTATATGGTCCAAAAAGAAAAAAAAAAATGTAATTCATCCTAAAATGACACTAACCAAACTGGATGCCAAACTTTTCAGACTCATGATGGACAATAAAGAAAAAAAGAAAGTCAGAATTGCCGCAGAAGAACCAGAGAAATCGCCTTTTTACTGCATGCATTCTTTTTCCATGTCAAAACCTGACGCCTACATTACCCAGAATGCAACTCAACCACTAAAAGTTAAGTCGGAGATTCGGGACTGTTATGCTAGGCAATTGATCAGACTTCACGCAGCTCCTCTGGAGCCACAAAAGCCTTTGATGTGTAAAATGAGTGGAGCTCCCTTTAACCTATTTATTATCTGTCAAAGTTTCTTCTGAACTCTTTCACCTCGTCTTCTCCTGCCTTCATTTTTTTTGATCTGTCTCACCTGGGTGTAATGGGTGCACATGGGCCCGGAGCAGCGTTCTGGACACCAGGGATTGCACTCGTGGGGGTAGGGATAGGTGTAGTCTTTCACCTCATCGTACCAGGCCTGGACGTGGAAGGCAGGAGAGCGGTATCTGTAGAGCCCATGCACAGACACACACAAATAAACAAACACACACAGACAGACAGACAAACAGTAGGCTCAGTCACAGGCCATCCAGGTACTAGGGGGCAAAAAGGGAAATATCTGAGGGAGCTGCCAGGTGCTTTGGCTTGACTTGAGAAACACTGCTTGAACCTCCCTGCTCCTCCCCCTCCCTTCAGGCTTCAAGAGATGAGTCTGAATTTGACCTGGCACATAGATCAGCAGTCTGTTCCCCTCCATAACAGGGGAAATCAAATCAGGTTAAAAAAAAAACAATCAGAGCAAATCTAAACATGGCTCCACAGCCTAACAAATCAGTTCTAGTTCTTATTATAAACATCTCTTTTTACGGTATTGAAAAAGTGCTGAGCTTATAAGTGGAGAGTAGAGGGGGAGTGAAAAAAAGGGTTGTTGGCACAGGAAAAAAAGGAGGGAAGAGGGGAGGGAGGAAAGGGGCTGTGAGAATGAGAGCAGATTCCTGGAAGGGCACCTGCTGCGATAGCCACACGCTGTCATACACAGAGGCCTACTGTGTCTGGTGTCTACTCGGACACACACTCATTCACACAAACATCAAGCTTAATATGCTAGCACTGACTAGCACTACTACGCACATATCAATTGACCAAGATTCTTTTAAAGGAGCAGATCAATTCAAAGTGTTATGACTAAGAGTTTTCCGGACACTCGTCTCTGTAGTTTACGGGAAACAGTTTACTCTTACAACACTAACAGTTCAGAAAAGACTTTCAGTAAAGGAAAAAAAGAAGAAGTACAAAGAAATGATCTGCTGATCATGTATTTGTGAACAAGGTTAAGAGTTCAGAGGCATGCTAGAGGTTCTGTAAGGCTGTACATGGGCATAGTGTTGCTTTGAGCTAAATGCTAACATTAACATGCTAACAGGGTTACGGTGCTAACATGCTGATGTTAAGCAGGTACAATGTTTACCATCTTAGTTTAGTGTGTTAGCATGCTAACATTTGCTAATCAGCACTAAATATAATGTACAGTTGAGGCTGTTGTGTCATTAGCTTTGCAGATACTTGGTCAAAAACATAAGCATTAGGAGCATAAAAATTGACCTAATGATGGCACTAGCGCTAATGTCAGAGGATCACCAAAATGACCAAAATTCATCCTGAAGGGTGTGCACCAAATCTCATGGCAATCCAACCGATAGCAGTTGAGACATTTCACTCAAAACTACAAATGTAAACCTCATAATGGTTTGAAAGAGAAAACAAGTCAGGGGGAATCATCCTCTGTTTCCTCTAATGAATGTCTGTACAAAATTTCACGGCAGTTGCTGAGATACTTCAGTCTGGAACAAAGTGGTGCACTGACCTCAAAGTATATAGCTATAGTAGATGTTCCCCAAAGTAGGGTATAAAAAATTGTTTTGAAATTGGAAACTCAATTAGGCATTATATAAATGTATAAGACTATGGATGGTATAGCATACCGACTATGTGCGTTATATCTCACCTGCCCCAGTGAACAGCCAGGTTTTGTCCAATAGACATCAGCAGGTCCTGAGGTCCATGGTCCCATTGACACTCCCCTGCCCAATGAGTGGCAGACCGCTCCAAATCATCATCCCAAACCTGTACACATCAAATGAAAGAAGTTTCTCCACAAAGAATTTACATATTTTACACCGGTAACATTCACCTGCAGTTTCCACTACAATGTGGAGCAGTATAATCCACATCTTGTTCTGACTCAGTAGATACCTAACCACAACCTGTTCAAGGCCTCTGCTCCTGCACTTCCTTCCTTCCCAGTGAGGTGAAACTGAGCTGGACACAAGTACAACATTAACCTTAGACAGTGACATTTGAGTGGAGCAGCTGGCGCCTGGCCCTGGTCCACTACAAATCTCCAGCAATCACAGCTGAATTATCCACATTTCCTGAGAAGGTTTCTTTACGGTGTTGGAGAGGAGGGTGGAAAGCGGAGAAGACACCTGACTCCCGCCATGGAGGGGTAGCTATGAATGGAGGGAGGACTGCGTACAGCATGGCCCCTCAAAGCACATCTCCTCAGTAAATTTCCAGCCTTTTGGTGGTCGCTAAAACATGCACACACAGACACCGCTGTAGCCCCAAACAGCCATACACCAACACAAACACACACACACTGCCTGTTCGCTGGAATTCGAGAGAGCACTGGGCAGAGTAAATCTACAGACACTTTCCTCCCAGGCTATAACCACACTCCAGAGACACACAGGCCACCATTGCTTCTCTCAACTTTATGGACCTCGTGGTTTTCAATAACTTTCTGTGTGTCTCAACAATAATCCCTCTCCCTTTTTTTTACCCATTGATGTGCCACGTTGTCCCATAATTTTTCTGTTCAAGTCTTATTCCCTCTGTTCTCCTTTGACCAAGCCCTCCCTCATTCTCCTGTCTTCTCCAGCACTGAGCTGTTTGCAGGTAGGACAGAGTCAGCATTATTATCCTCCTTGTAAAAGAGCAGCACAGCAGGCTGGCAATAACTCACCATCATGACTGCATGTTTCCAGCAGGGAGAAAAGGTTGTTTTTATTATACCAACACCACTTTTCTCGGCAGAATAAAACCTTAAACCCTAATTACCAGCCCCATTTCAGAGCTCAGTGTTGCTGACACATTAAAATGAAGTTTTTTTGTGAGGTAACGCCAAAAATTTAAGTTGATAACATTTAATTATCTTTGTAAATTAAGAATAACACTGAAGTAGGTAATTGGGGCAATGGGACATGTCTGACCATGTACTCCATGTTTGAGGCAGTTGGGTAGACGACGCCCCTCAGCTTGTTGTGCAGCTGGATGATCTCCTCACGGTCCGACCAGCGGATGGCTCGTCGGGTCCTATTGCCAGCTGTGTTGCTGGTGCCGTTCCGGTCTGCTTCCTCCTCGTAGCGGCTCAGCAGCTGCCTGAGCTCCTTGGAGTCAGGCAGGAAGAGGGAACCTGAGTCACTGATGCACAACAGCAGGAAGGAGAGGGAGAGGACAGTGAACCAGGTCATGGCAGCGCAGGTCATTCTGACACTTCTGCTGTCTGGGTCGGACTGTAAGACTGCAGTTGACACTGGATTTTGTGTGAACGCTGCTCCTCAGAGTTCCAGACACAACCTGCAGAGAGGAAATGTTTAATGAGTTTTTCCCTCGCTGTGTGAGTCAACAAAGTAAAGTACAGATTACAAAATATGGGCATAGAAATTACTCAATTAATGAAAGGAGACACTCCCTGTAACAAAGTTGTCAATTTAATGCACACACACATAGAAACATATGGGTTTACAAAGTATTAAAAGTGCGACAAAGCAGAAAGTATAGCTCAGCAACACTTTCCATCAGTTGCTGTCACCTGCCTCTCTGTTGTTTTTTCTGATGAGACTCAGCTTGGCAGTTATGGCTATTTCATAAAAAACTGTTACTACTTTATTTTTTTCACTAATAGAATCTGATGCAATCCAATGCAACTGCCCTGCAATAAGTCCTTCTTTTGAGAAGCTTTGTTCTGTTTCTGGTTAAGTTGAGGTATTAACAATCCAAGTGCTTTATCGTTTTGAGGCTGTACAGGTGCTGTTGTATTAGAATGCATTATATTGAAAGATGTTTTTAATATTCCCCCCTCCACATGTGAGTAAATGGGGATGGACAAAACATTTGAAACGCCTCTCAACATAATACAATCCAATACAGCCTCCCCTCACAGTAACTCCAGGCTTAATAATGACCATAGAGTTGAATTGACTCCTCTGTGATACAATGTCAATCATTACAAGCAGAACTGTTGTATTGGACTGCATTAGACTGTAATGCAGTCCAATACATGAAGATTGTACATGTTTACCTAATGATACCCAGTGATTGTATATCATAGTATATAATAAAATCTACATTTATCTACATTTAAGAGGCATGTTTCCCTCTCTCTGCACATATACTGTGATGCATCAGAGATGACTGTCTTGCACTCTATTGTGCATCACAGAACTGGCTACTGCATTTTGTGCAGCATAGGCTATTAGAACATTGTTGTTGTTATCATTCTGTTAGTGACCCTCTCATTACCAACCCAGGTTTCTGTGTGTGCAACATTTAATCAACCGTTGCTTTATTTTGAAATGCTTTAATTATTTTCTCATTAACACAAAAATAATATGTACTGTACCACAATTATTCAACCAGTTAACGTCTATGTCCAAAAGATGAACTCTGTCTAAATGAGTTTATTTAACCCACATTGTCTGACTAACATAATTTCAGTCAAAGCCATTTAAAGAGCATTTAACCATTCATAACATAGCTTCAATAATACCTGTTATACAGAGCAATTTAAGCTTCATCAGTAAATATAACACTGAGTATGCTTTGGACTTGCACCACTGTTATACACAGTATGTTGAGAAATACTATCTACCTCTTCATCCTCATCCCCTGACTCTGATTATTTTCTAACCAAACTGAGCAGCAGGGTGAGAGACTGAGGAGGGAGACCTGAGTTCAGGTTGACAAGCTTTCACCCTGCTGAACTGTCTTTGAGGAAAAACACTGCATTCCTGACACATGCAAGGGCAACATTCTGTATCTGACCCTGCATCTGACCTCCCTCTGGAGGGAGACAAGCAAGAGGGAAAACGCCCTAATGACTTAAGCTAAACCAAATATCACAGAGTCACAAACTGTTATAAAGAAAGACGAGCAGTCAGTCAGCGTGATCAGAGAAGAAAGACAAAAAATAAACCAAGCTCTAGCACGCACTGGTTGCTCTTATCCTTGAATCCCTTCACCTCTTTCCCTCTGGCTGGAAAGACGTCTTGAGGTCTGGCACCGGCTCTGTGTCAACATGCTGTGCCAGCTCTGGGCACTGTGAGCCAGCGGGCAGCCCAGGCACCACACCCTTCTCCTTCTCCCTGTGCCCCCTTTTCACACTGAACCTCTACCAGCTTCTGTGTCTGGGCCCTTCTCATGGCTCTCATGAATTTTATACCCGAGTGACAGACAGAGCAGAAGAGTCGGACACACGTACATGTCCACACCTTGTCTATCTGGTGGGCTTGTTTCTGATCTGAAGAGGGGACTGACCTCCTCTCCACCCCACCACGAGGCTGAATGTAAACACAAGTCAGGAGGACAATATGCTTTTTTTGACATGCAAAAAATTTGCATGTCAAAAAAAGCCCTTTAAAAATTGACTTTTGTCCTATTCTCCAGTAGTTTGCCCCTAAATCCATAAAAATTGTGACATATTTTCTAAGTGACATATGGCTTTTATTGTATTGATAACTCAAAATCTAGCATTAGATTTGAAATACTTTCCTGCTTTCCTCATAAGCCTACTGCCTGTAGCCTATAGTATTTTCCATCTTGGTAGCTGCTGCTATCCCATTGACATTTCCTTGGTAAGGAGGCAGACTCATAATGAATGGCAGTGTCTTGCCAACAGCCTCTCTTACAGTGTCATGGTTTGTAACCCACAACTGAAACATCAAAGTTGTTGATGTCTTAAATTTCATGGTGTCATACTGAGTAAAATCAATAAATCTGAAACAATGAAATGACAAAATGATGTCAGTCAGAAGGTGTATCGTCAGACCAGGTAGGCTACACTTCTCATCGTCTTACTTTCACAAGGTGATGTGCATGAGGCTACAGCACAGGAAAGACAGATCCTAACTAAAACCAGCCCGCTATGTCACAGCGTACCTGAAAGCTACAATACAACACGTTGCAAATAAATGTGTGAAATGTCTCATAATAGCTCACCTCTGTGTTACTGAGTATCCAGCTGCTTGAGTATTTCAGTTTCCTCTGCGCGCAAGAGAATGGTCAGGATTATTCCCTTGTGAGAGCACCGGGCTGTTGCTTGTTGGCGGTGTTCCTGAAGCACATAGGAACTGAGTAACTCCTTTGCAGCTCAGAGTGCCTTATATAGAGAAGGAGACCCCTCAGGGCCAGAGGAAAAAATTACTGTCTCTACTCACTCCCACACTCGCCAGCCTCCCTCAAGTAGGCTATGTTCCTGGCAAGCAGCGCGCAGTGTGCGCACGCTGACGCGGAGCCCAATGTCAGGAGGGAAACTGCAAATATTGTAAATCAGTGACTGTCGAACGAGTCAGCTGCAGGCAGATAGATCAGCATCTCTGAATCACAGTGACAGTTATTAACTAGACATGTATCTTCTCAAGCAGCTACACGCTTCAAACATTACCACAAACTTCAGAGGGGCTGCGGTGAAGAGGGAGACCCACAACTGACAGAACTAAAGTCTCTGAAACTACATTTAAAAAAAAAAAAGTTCTATATATATGAGTACAACTCACAACCCATTTCAGAGTAATATATGTGCAATGGTGCCCTCTAATAATTGTGTTTTATATACGTTGAAACGAATATCTTTATTGTATATTATTATATTATATATTTGGGTTGCCAGGCTGTGAAAAATCTATCGGCTGTAATTTATCCTTTCCATTTGGTAATAACGGAAATATTTAAGTCATTATTAAAGGTTGTAATCATTAAGTCTGTGGATGTGACTGAGGTACTGATATAACTGATCGATAAAGCATTAGTAAATGATCGATTAGAAATTGATAAAGCCATTAGTGACAATTTATACACCCTTTGTAAAAGGTGCCTATTTTAAAAGTGGTATCAATACTTGTAGTGATAATCTGGAGAAAAAATAGTGTTAGAACTTGTGATGCATAATAAGATGTCAAAATGACACGAGCGATTTCTGTCATTATTTAAGTGAATTTTCTTGCCTTTTCAGTGTTCACATATTAAGTTTCTACATATTTGTTCTTGCTGTAGTTGTTCATTAATAGAAATGTTAAAAACAATCATCATCATGTTACAGTCACTTCGGGTCAGGTGTTGAGAGAATAAACAGGGGAAGAGAGCTGGCCTTACTGGCACAGGCAAACAAGGATCTCCTGCTCACAAACAGGGTTCATCATCCGTCAAGGTCGTATCTCCTTCCTGATCTGACAGACGGCTAGCTGCGTTGTGACCCACATAGTTCACATTTTATTCCATCATGAGCTTGATTTCAGATATTTACAAGAACACGGTCACTCAGGAGGAATGCCAGCAAACTGAACCATCAGACAGATTTTCTTCCCACAAGGACTCTGCCTATTTGGGCTTTGCACTCAAGTCAAAATACATGTTTAACAGGAAGTCTGGCCCATCATGCATCTGCTTTCTTTCCTAAATGTCCTGCAGAGATGGTAGCAAGGGTGGCTGCGGTCTGTAGTGAGATATTCACAGGAAAATCACATTTCTGAGACATAAGAAAAGAAAATCTAAAGATTAAGCTCACATCATGGCCTGATGGGCTCCATCATTTACCAAGCTAACTACATGGAAATACTTAATATCCTAGTCTTGACCTTCCCCAGCTAAAAAGCACCACTTAACCTTCAGTCTTCTTTGTCAGACAACTCATCCCTTTCACTGTACAGTTTTTAGGACATTGGATAATTCTTCATTTAAGCAATATAATATTTTTCTTATATTGCCAGGATTAACCAATCTCGGGATTCTTTAAATGGTGATATTTTGATCTAGTGAATGATATTTACAATATATCCATCCAGATGTCTCATGCAGACCAGGGGCCTTTTCTTCCAAAAATATGAGCACATTATTGGGCAAGTGTGTTTTCTCCTTCAGGGACAGCATTTTGACATCATCATTTGCAGTTACACAGCGATGCAGTCAGATCTTGGTCGATTTGGATACAGCTGCTGCTGCCTTGACAAAACCATTACCCCCAAACATAAACCCATCCACAAAAAATGTAAAAAGGTAACACCACATATTAATATTTTACTCCCCACACTAAGTTCTGTCAATCAATGATGTTGATATGGAACAAAGACAAACCGGGATATTCAACTTCCTGTACACATGATCATAACAGTCTGCAGGTTTCTGAGTCACCTCAGCAGTTGAGGAGGGACACAGTTTGGTTTCTGTCTGAAGAGTGATCGTACAACTTCTGCTCTGCCTCACCAGACTCAGACCCCCTTATTTCTGATTCGATCATGTTGGACATTTGTGATTTTAACAAGATTAACTTTAAACCATATTTTCTATTTGTTAAATATGTCTGTGCATATTTGGTGTGTCGCCATCTTTTTTTTATTTTTTTTAATTGTTCCCTATCCAGCAAATATTTTTTCTTTGTGACTGAAGTGAGACCATCCTCTGACACCAGCCACCAATTTTTCATACTCTGAGAAACTCTTGTATTGTATCATGTTTCTTTATTCACGTCCTTCTTCACAGACCTTTTGAAACACAAATCTGTTATTTTACTTAACAGCTTTGCCAGTACAACACCCTGTCTCACTGATGTCTTTTTTTAATACACTGTAAATCAGAAGCATTAGTAATGATAACTTTTTTTGTAGATCGTCTAATGACAAAACCTCAATCTCCATTTCGAGGTCCTGATAGTCCCTTGTAATAAACATTAGCGATCATGTATCTCACAGAGGATGTCTGTATTCAAATCTCCAAGAGACGAGGGTTTTGTTCTCAGAAGTGTTATTCATTACTCGGCTGCATCAACCCAGATACATAATTCATACCAGACCAAGTGGAAACTGGAAACTTACAACTCTACATTAGTCTCAGTTGAAGACAACAGAGGGATTACATAATTCAAACATCCCTTTTCTTATTTACTTTTTGACATTATATAATGTTCAGCAGGTGGAACCTGTGTTTTTCTTTTTGTAAGGTTCAAGGGGAACCCCACACACACACACACACACACACACACACACACACACACACACACACACACACACACACACACACACACACACACACACACACACAGCAGTACTACTCTCCATACACAAAAAAAAAGAGCTGGTTTATTTGGACAGGGGCTTGTGGAGGTCCTTGAAGCTCTGGTTGCCATGTTTACTTTCCTTAGAAAACGTGGAGTGCTCGTGAACCTCTAAACAACACACAAAAATGAGATGCGGAGGAGGCGAACTGGGGGAGAATGAATGAGGAGACCATATGGTGTACAAGGCTGATTATAAAAACAAACCAGAGGGTGGCTCGTAATGAAACAGGAAATGCATTAACAAAAACAAAACAAAACAAACTCTCTTTATGAGTATAAAGAGGTGATGGAGGGCTAGATAAGCAAATGTAAGAATATGCTGTATAGAGAATTTCTGTTAACTGTAGCTTTATTGGTTTGTAGCATCCTGAATGAAGGACTGGTACCAATGCAGGACATGTCAATCCTTTATATCTAGTTAGTGTGGAGGCAACATCATGATACACTTTATTCTCACGATTACCAAACCATTCGGTGACCCCCTTTTACCCCGTATAACAGCATCTACATTCACTTCCCCACTCAATTAGTAAGGCGTTTCCTTTGTCACCTGCCTGTGTGATGCTAAACGGCTCAAAACACACGTGTTTGGGCCTCAATACCACCTTAACTGAATGTTTCTAACTCACCACTAAGTTTCTATGTTTTGGACGCTGCATCCATTTAGCCATTAGAAAAACACTGGTGGTAGCATCACACTTCACAAGTAGTTTTACTAAATTTTCAAGTTGTAAAAGGCTTGTGCATGTTCATGGATAAGTCACATGTATGGTGTACGCTTTAACAAGTACAACAGCATCAAAATGAGCAAGAGGAAACAAGCTCATAAATTGCAGCTTGCATGTTGTAAATTTGGTGATACAGGCTTGAAGGATGTTAAGACATTATCATTGCACTCGTTTTTGCTGTTGAGCTGTGGTGGTTGCTGCTTGTTTAAGTAGCAGGTCTGATGGTTGTCTCCTCTGTACTAAAACAAATGACTCACAATTACAACAAATCGTTTGTGAAGCAGAAACACAGATGTAACGAGGACCTGTTGATTTCATCTGCGGCTACATGTGGTTTGAATTTGTTGCCCCAAGAGAGCCCTCAATTTTGTGTTGCTCATCTCCACTCTGAGTAATTATTTTGATTCCTGGTGCTTGAAATTACAGAAAACATGTAGCACAAGCCTCATTCTGTGGGCAGTTGCTCTTGTTCTGCGTGCCGCACTGGACCCTGCAATGCTATGACCATTAAAATTACTGGCTTATGTTGAAAAATAGGTCCTACGCACTTTCAACAAACCACTCCAAGTCTTAAAAGGCCCATGAGGAGCAGGCTAACATACATACACCATCATCCTTTAAGAATGGCAGGAGACACTTCTGAGTATAGGTGGTCTATCAGTGGGTGTTCAAACATGTAATTTTCTCTTCAGGCTATGAGCCTATAAAAAAAAAGGAGCTCTTTCAGTTGCCTTCTGACATTAACAAGGAAAATACTATGCTTGATTGTAAGTTTGAGAGCAAAGCCACATTTCAGTGGACGGCTGAGCTATAGTACAGAGGGAATAAATAGTAAGGAATACTAAAAAGGCAGAAAAACCTTACATGGCAAATTTTTCAATGATGGGTCTGCTTCCCATTAAAACAAACAGCCATGGCCCTAAAGAGAGCACTGTGGGTACCAAGGCAGCCAGTTAGACCACAGGAGGGGGAGATGAGACACACTACAAATACTACACATAGTATATGTTGACATACAGGAACAAGAGACCAATTAACAGCGTGCGGTACACCAAGACTATGGATTGTTTTGTTTTGGTTTATTGTGCACATTGTTCTGTAGGCCAGTCCATGATCCAGAGACTGCAGATGTTTTCAGTATTTACTGTATTATAAGAAAGCCCAGTAGTCTTATGACTACACCTCATTAGCAAACTGCTTTTTGCACAATCCTTTATTTGAACAATAAACAAAATATAATGCTGGAGGCTTAAAATTAAAAGACAGAATAGATTTTGTTTTTAGGTCATTATCCTAACAATTCCCAGCAGACAATAGTGTTAGGAGCACATACTGAAAAGAGAGACATTGTTGAAGCATTTCACCAGCACATTTCCTGACCAGCCATGAGAGACTGAGATAAAACTGTACAA